TAGGAGTTTCCTGCTGCCCCCGTGTTCCTGCTCATCATTAGCATTAATATAATTGCCATTTTTATTCTACGTGTTGCTGTGTTGGCTGCCTCTCTCTGCTCCCTCTGTCCTTCTCTCGCCCTCTCTCTCTCTCTTGCTCTCTCTTTCCCCTCACCCCCAACCAGCCGAGGCAGATGGCCGCCCACCCTGAGCCATGGTTCTGCTCAAGGTTTCTGCCTGTTAAAAGGAAGTTTTTCCTTGCCTGTGTCGCCTAGTGCTTGCTCACGGTGGGAATTGTTGGGTTTCTGTAGTTAACTTAAGAGTAGGGTCTGACCTGCTCTGTTTGGAAAGCGCTGTGAGACAACTGTTGTTGTGATGTGGCGCTATATAAATAAAATTGAATTGAAATTGAATTGAATTGTTAGATTCGGTTCTTTAGTTGGAAGCCTGAGAATAAACCAGAGTAGATCAAGAGTACAAATATGACATTTATTGGTCACAAGCAAAGTATATCAGCGCTGAGCTCTCACACACAAAGTTCCCGGAACAAGAGCCTCGATTTCCGGATGCAATGGGTAGTTATCCTCTGGGCCGGGCCTCGAAGGGGGAAGACGGTTGGGCGTAGCCGAGCATCATTGGCCAGTTAGTTTGGTCATGATCAGGCCAGAGGCTCTTTGTTCATGCAGGTTTCGTGGGAATGTGATAAGAAAATGTGTGTGTGTATGTTGACCTTGAAGACGTGTATCTATTGTAACAGAGAGATGGGGATGAGGAGGCACAGCCAGAGAGTTTAACCCAAAAGTAGAAATATAAATGGAATAATATGAATCTAAAAGGAATAATACAATCAGTCATTTACATGGATTAAGTTATAGCATGTTATGCTAAAGTAAGTAATTATAGCCCAATTCTAACAGTATGAAAGTTGTTAAACTCAGTGTCACATGTTAATCATCTACTAAACTCAAAGCACCTGCACAGGTTTCCCCAGGTGTCATTGAATTGCTTCAGTTGCCTCAGTTCAGTTCAATATGGGGAAGACTGCAGACATGTCAACTGGCCAAAAGGCAAGCATTGCCAAAAATGTTCATAGCTGAGGAGGCTGGATGTTCACAGAGTGCTGTGTCCAAGCCTATCTATGGACAATCTAGTGGAAGGGCAAAATGTGGGAGGAAAATATGCATCAACAAGAGATGACCGTGGGCTTCAGTGGATTATCAAACAGAGAAGATTCAAGAAGTGGAATTCAAGTGGAATGAGGCAGGAGTCACAGCTTCAAAAACCACCACATTCAGGCACAATGGGATGTTTGCTACAAATGGCAGGTTCCTGGGGTCAAGCCACCCCTGAACCTGAGCCAACATAGGAAGTGTCTCAACTGGGCCAAGGAGAAGGAGGACTGTAATGTCAGCCAGTGGTCCAAGGTCCTCTTTTGCGATGAAAGTAACACGCGCCTTTCATTGGTGAATCAAGCTCCAAGGGTTTGGAGGAAGATGGGCTGCGCAGATGGGAATCCTGAACAAAACAGACTTTAATCAAACAAAACAAGACACTTGGGTCAAGGGAGGTACAGAGGTTTCTGATTTGGTGGCGAGTTGGAGCCTGTGGCAGGGAAAACAGCCAAACATACTTGATGAGCCCAGGTGAGAAGTGAGGGTTAGCTGGTGTGACCAAGTGTAAGATGAAGTGTAAAGAGACTTAACTAGTAGTAAAATATTTGTATGTTTATTTGCAGAAATAGAAAAGCATCATTTTTAGTTATTCTAAAATCTTTGATAAAAATATAATATGTGGCAAAACAGTTCATTGATGGGCTGTATTTAAAACAGGATAAGCATACAATTGGCTGAATTGGGGTTGTGCATATAGCAATAATAAATGTACAGTTTGGGAAACACAAATAAAATCAATATGACATGGCCAAACAAAGCCCATATAAAAACCAAACAAAACATGCATAGGTGCCCCCAAGTCAATCCAATTTGACAGTCCAAAAAGTCTATACAGGCCCAAACGACTAATGTACAGCCTAAACTTTAACCAAGGGAAAAAACAGTGGATGGCGGCTCAGCAGCATCCAAATCTTCACTAAAAGATACAAATATTTTACATTCAGTATGACAATCATTTTATTATTAAAATTACTATCTTAACTATTTAAAAGTTTCCTTTTTTAACATCCCACTAACAAAAACTCTCGTAGTTCTAGAGGCCAGCAGGTGATAAGCCCTTTCATCAAGTAAGGTGGGACACACACTTTCCCAGGACTGATGACTGGTACTATTGCTTGGACTTAAGAGGATGTGGTCATTATTGGCTGCACTGCTTTTGTGACAAACATATTGTATCTATTTACCTTCTTGTCTGTGCACCAAACCCAGATTTGGCTTAAAAGCTCGAGTGTAATGGCTGCCAGTTGCCCTCTGCATCCATGTGGAGTAACTGAGTGAAAGGCCTAGATTTGCCTCCCTCTGGGTTTTAAAAGCTAAGCTCCGCCCCCCAACTTCCTACTTCCTGGTTCACCCTAACACACAAAAAAGAGGATCATCTGGTGAGAGAGGAAAAGAAACATGGAGAGTACCAAACAGAGTACAGCAAGAATATTCTTGCTGTTACTCCATTTACTGTAGATGATATACAGTATTTGGGCGGCACGGTGGTGTGCGATGGACTGGCGAACTGTCCAGGGTGTACCCTGCCTCTCGCCCGTTGACCATTAGGTTAGGCTCCAGTTCCCCCCGCGACCCCATAAGGGAATAAGCGGTATTGATAATGGATGGATGGATGGATGGATGGATGGATGGATGGATATACAGTATTTGGGATTTTGGCCAGGCCCTTTCTATATGGAGTTTGGATGTGTGAGTTCACTCTATGTGACTGACTTCCTTCCACCATCCAAACATGTGTAGAGATTTTCTGACTGTCATGGGTTCTGACACAACTAACAAGTTCCAGGTGGGCAGAAAAAATTCTTGAATTCTATGAGACAGAGAGGAGGAAACACTTTGAAGATGTCCTTACGTTGAGCAGCCTCTTCTCCAAGACTTCTTCTTCTGAAGACCTGAGGGAAGACACGCTCATCCCCTTGGTTGAAGTGGCAAAGGTTGTTAGAAATCCTTTTGGCACTACGACACTGAGGATTGAGGAGACACACCTGAATGGATTTTGGCTTTGCACATTGTAGAACTGCCTTGCTGACATGCATGTCTGGAACAACACCTGTAGGGCTCTTGGCGAGTGCAGACGTGTTTCTCTCGGCTCTCTCCCCTGCCCTTTTTTGCCCGCTTGCTATCTTTGTCCTGTCATATCTCAGAACCTCTTTCTGCATTCTCACTTCCTAAAGCCTAACATCACCCATGGATTTGGTCGGCTGGTCTCTCAACACTATTGACAACATCTTTTCGACCCAAAGACAAGCTTTAGGGGCTGCATCTTGTCCATCTGGGACTCACCCTGCGGGTAAAACAATGGATGCCTCGAAGAGTTGGAGGTTTTTATGCCTTTCAGTTCTCACCGTGGAGGAAGTTGAGGACCTGTACCTATTCGGATTCATAATAACTGTGTTCCAGCTGATTGCAGTTGGCGGATACCTGGATAAGCTGATGGCAACTGGTGGCGGTTGCCGATCGAGCCGCTGCTCCAAACCATCAACACTCAGACTCAAAATCGCAAATATGACACTCTGGAAAGCAAAGTGGGGACCATGTCTGATTGCATGAAGGAGATGGGTGCCACCTTGGAGAAGTTGGTGTCCGGATATAGGGAAACTAACACAGTTCCACTGAATTGGAATCGCCATTGAGAGACCTGCTGAGGATTCAAGGCACACATATCATGCTCTGTCTGGAACAAAGCCCCCTACCTCTTTCACAATGTTTTTTTTTGTCTGAAGAAAAAGGTGCGCATCCAGATGGGCTGCCCCACAGTTTCCCAAACCCTGTGCGTTCATGTGTCTGTTGCTTCGTCTGATTTGGACGTGTTGTACTTAAATGTTGAATTTCATTGTACAGGACACCGGAAAATGATTAGTAATTTGATTGATTGATGGATTTATATCAGGGTGGTTAATATTTTTAGGTAGAGATAAGCAGACATTCTTTCAACTAAAACCTAAAACAGTGGTTCTCAATTAAACATTAGAGCAGGTCTTCAACCTCATGGGGGTTTGGCCATTGAATCTACAAATATTTGGTTGATAGCCTATCACTATGGTTCATGAGGGATTCTTTGATGAGCCATGGCTGTGTATTGCAAAAACGTGACGTTATCTCTCCGGATCCAGGTTAAGTCTCCTCCTCGAGCGAGGATCTTAAGTATCTTTGAGGAATTATTCTAAAGTAAACTCGAGGTCTTGAATAAATTTGTGAGAGATTGACAAATGGATTTGGGCTTCCTTCTATCTGTTGCTGCAAAGAGGGATTATATTTACTGCTCCATCCTTATGGCTTTAAGGTTTGGCTGGTGCATAATATTGCGGAGAAACGGACAGTCAGAGGGCCACCGGGCTCCAGGCCAGAGGGGGCTCTGAATGGCGAGAAGATTTTCCATGAGTCAACTGAGATGATTGGAAAGGCATCTGATTAGAGCCCAAGGCACACCAAGAACACAATGGCCTTGAAAATGTTCTTTTATACTCATCTTCTCCAATGACTTTTTTCTCAATTCCAGTTTTTGTTGCATTTCAGAATGTTTCATCTTTCTTGAAATAAGTTGTTTTTTCATGGCATAAATGTTTTTTTTTCCCCTTTATTTTTATTTTATCTTTTCCGTTTCATGAATTTTCATTTTAGTCCATCTGTCAGGGTATTTTAATGCAGCCAATTTAGAAGAGCCACCCTCCCAAAAACCTGGTAAATTTAAGATGACTTCTGTACTTCGGAGAAAAAAACGGGATAAAGAAAACTACCAGTTTCTCATGCATTATGGAGAACCTGCTAGTTTGAGAGGAAATCGAAATATTTAAATCTAGTCAATTAATGCCAGCATGTTTACAATTGCAGATTTTTTTTAATTGACATTTCATTTGGGTAAAATTAAATCAAATATAAAATTTAAGAATAATGATAAAATTTAAGTCATCACACGTGAAGATGGGCACTTTGTTTTTCTATTTTAATTAACTCTGATGTTATTGATGTAGGCAAAGTAGAAAAAATAAACATTTTCTGTTCTTTACATGAGCAACTGAAGCTGCAAATGATTCCTCCAGACTTTTTCTGACTTTATTCAGCCTGAAACAGCTGAAGGATGGTTAGTCGTTAGAAACTGGAACTTCATTGTTCCACAAATGGAAGTCAGGTACAAAAAGAAGCAGCATTTTGGATCCAAAGTGATATAAAAAGCATTCAGTCCTATAGTAAATAATTTCTTATTGGCCTTATCGCTATTTGGTTTGGTATAACCTGGAACTTAAACAAGTCTGCATTCTCTGCTATCATGATATGAAAGGGCTAAGGGAAGCCTTTACTTCCATAAAACATTTTATTATGTTCATCAAAGTCTGGTTGCCAGACAAAACTTACAAAAGTTATTCTGTTTCTACCACACAAGTATACATTTTTGTGCAATTGAGTTTACATGAATAATCCTGTCACTTTTCCTCATAAAAAGGATTAAAAAAAGAAAAAAAGATTTGGGTTTGACTAGCAGGATTGAACATAAATAGCTGACCTTGCAGAGGGGCAAAATAATTCAGTGATATACACAACAGCTTAAGTCACAAAGTAATACATCACATACAACGGACCAGACAAATCCAAGAGTTTGCTGCTTCGATTCAAATCAGCCAGTAGTCCAGTTTTTATGTGTAGATATATTTACAGTTGCTGTATGTGTTCTGCATACAATGTACGAGTTTCGAACAGAAGAGAAAGTTTAAAAAAAAGTCATAAACTTTCAAAGGCAAAAAAACAAACAGTCTTTGCTCCTTAATGATTCAGTTTGAGCTGGAACTGATAACATTTGTGCACTGAGGTTCGCAGAAGGAGCCAAAGCGCCCGTAAATGTCTTTGGCTCGGACAGCAAAATGGTAGGTGGAGCCCGACTGGAACTGCGTCAGCGTACAGGCCATAGGTAAGGGAAGGGCATTCACCTCCCCGATCTTCTTCCAGTGCTGTTGGCCTGCGTTGCTGCTCGAGTTGTCTTGATGGAAGGCATAAAGGTGATAGCTCTCCACAGTGGCACAGGTCCGATCGGTTTCTGCCACGCTCCAGGACAGAACTATTCCCGTCTGACCTGGAACCAGCTTCAGCTGGAGCTGCTGAGGAGGGGAGGTCCGCTCAGCCTCTGGCGGTAAACGTGGCGGCACCGGGGCAGCAGGGAGAGGCGGGAGCGCCACGTTGGAGCCCCGGGTCGGTGTCGTGGTGGTTACGGTGCGGGATTTCAGCGGGGAGTCCTATGAGGGAAGAAAATATTAGTCTTTTTTTTTTCTCCTTTTTTCAAAGCAACCACAAATCATATCAACAAAAATGTTTTCATGCTTGTGCTGTCAGTTATAGCATCAAAAACAAAGCCACAGATTTCACAACACACTTGAAACTTAGATACATTTTGGAACTGCAGGAGTGCACTAGTGGAATTTCGAGGTGCATGTTTAACTTCTTACCAGTGGGGGGCGGTGATGCACCGTGATCTGAGGATTGCCGGAGGGGTTCTGAATGATCTTTGGAGATGACCTTGTGCCAGCACCTGCACACACACACACACAAAAACACAGGGGTTACGATACAAGTTTAACACTTTCCAACAGCCAGTATTTTGTAACCACCAGAACGGCTGCGAGCACATTTGAACTTCACTGAATTTTAATTTCTAGCATACATCTTACATATGAAATTTAATCATTGTTTTATAAAAACATAAAAATATATATTTTTTCATTTAATGGATTTATATCAAAGATCTTAAACAAACTATGTCAGGACATATTTAAATAAGCAGCTCATGGAAATTTCACAAAAATATAAATACAACAACGCAATTGCAGCCTTGTTTATCGTATAACCCCAAAATACCTGGTGTTTAACAGGTTTGAAATTAAGTCATAGAGGGCAAACAGGCAGCAAGACAAAAGCTGACCAAAGCGATATGATCAGATGGGCATTCATGTTATCGGAAGCATTCACACTATGCGCAAGTTGCAGCAAGTGTAGCTCACACGGCTGTGCAGCATCTGCAGCAGGTGTCTGAGGCTTTATATTTAGTGCAGCTCCTCTGGCTCTCGTGCTGCCACCTTTTTACGGGGTGTGCTGCACCTTTAAGGTGTCCTGCAGACCATGTCGTTTCCCCTCCACGACGTCCGCTTAAAGTTCAGCTGTTGCAAAAGCTTCTTCAGAAACTGCGAATGATTGCCAGTCACAATCACCACATCCTCTCATGAACCGCCCTCTGCAATGCTTGTCCACCTTTCCCAGATATGAAGCTCTATTCAGCATGAGCTTTGATTCGACGCCCACAGTTTCATCATTAGGGCTCATTTCCTGTGTTCTGAATTTGCACCTGCTCTTTAGTGGAACAGCTGTTCATCATGGGGAATGAGGTGGCAGAGACCAGAGCAAACCTGTCATCCACGATTTGGAACAGTGAGTTTCCCCACCAAAATGGAGGAGTTCCACGTTATCTTCAAACCTCTCCCTGGACATTTCTTTGAATAACTGAAAGCCCATTTTTCCCCCTGTTAAATCCATATTTTTTCTCCTTGTACTCCTTTCACATGTTGATATATAAGGACTTAAGCTGTCCTGTGAGCTTTGTGCTGCAGCCAATAAGGAAAAGGAAGGTGTTATATGAGGCCAGTGCCTTCAGTGAGAACATGACCATCTTCATTCAGACTGAAATCATCTGCTAGATGTCCACTGTCCACACATCCCCACCTTTCCCACTTTCCACTGGAAAAAATTACTCTTGACTGTCAATGTAAATCAGTGTCTTCACCGCCATTTTAACTGTTATATTTCTTCGAAACCTCTGTCATGTTTTCTTTTCCCTTTTATATAGAAAGTAGATTTGCTAGCAAGAATAGCCTCATAGGTGGGTGCCACATTTCCCAGGGAGGTGGAAACTTAAAATGACCGCCTTTAGCCGAAATGGTTTGTAATGTTCCTAGTTCTTCTTTCCTTTACAGACTAAGCATAAAAACTAATTTCAAATTATTTTAAAACTAAACTAATCTAAACAATTTTAGGAAAAGTTGAGGAGCAGCAAGACCTCTGGTTTGTGGGTCTAATTTAACACTCGACTGTCTTTTCTGTTGTTGTGAAATCAGATGTGAAATGTACAATAAATGGACGCTTCCATAATATTAATATCCTTTTAACTGTATTTTAAAGAGAGTTTTCAAATATAACTTTAGGCTTCTACTACAAAAAGGAAAACCCGTCCGTGCTTTGAATGCAACTTGGTGGTCTTACTGTTGGGGATGCTGCTAACTGGGTTAGCGCGCAGGGCAGGGGTGGGAGTAGAAGCTGCGGTGGCACTCTTCACACCTGTCACTGCAGAACACCAAATGCAACAGAATTAGTCTCAACAGAGGTAAATATCTCTCTCTTTCTGTCTCTCAAAATATATATATGTATACACACACGAATATTTATACCGTATTTTCCCGACTATAGAGCGCACCTCAATATAAGCCACACCCACAAAGTTTTAAAACTAACTTTTCTTTAGTGGAAAGTAACGTATCTAAGCCGCACCGGACTAAAACCCGCTGATATCTACTGAACTGATGATGTAGTTTAACTTAACGTAAATTAACTGATTAACTTCCAAACGGTAGCTGCAACATGAAAGGGGAAGTGCTGATCAAACAAAACTGAAAAGTCATTGACTGGTTTATTCATCATCCTCCTGCACACTGAAACCACCAAAGTCATCTCCTTCAGTGTCGGAGTTGAACAGCCTTAGAGGAACTTCATCACACACGGTACTTTTTCTGTGTCGAGGTCAGTGTTGCTCTCCGTGTCGCTGTCGTTCCAGGGTTAGGGTTAGGAGTGCTGCTTTAAATGATTAATTTACACTGATGTCCAGGGCTTGCAAAAACCTTGTCGTGCCTCCAGGAATCCCCGCAGGTTTCTCTTCATGACTGCTTTCACCGAATCGGTGAATTGGAGTAGCCTCTCGCTGTAGTCTGTAGGACGCCTCGGTTGGATATCCAACTCCACCCACATCCAAGTCGGCCATTTTGATTAGGTCATATGACTAGCAGCTTTCTCAGGTGGAAACGAAACTTTACAGTCTATTTGAAATCAGAAGACAAACAATGTTCTAACCCTAACCCTAACCCTCCACCTTAATTGTGATTCATAAATATTTTTGGGTTAAACTTGTTTGGACTTCACTTCGCTAAACTGCCAGAAGGTTGAGCCGATTTTCTTGCCTGGGATGTTCCTGTTAGTGACGTAATCAAAATGGCCGACTTGGATGTGGGCGGAGATGGATATCCATCCTTGGCTTTATACAGTCTGCTGCGAGACGTACTTGGGTACGTGGGCCCACACACTGTCCAAAAACAAGCAGCGCTTTTTCCGGTGAAAAAAATACCCCATGGCGCACCACAATGTCTTTCGGCATTGTTTGGCGCTTAAAAATGACCATGGGGGGTAGCTTCGTTCCAGATGCAGTGCAGCCCAGGACACAGGTGAAACGTGTCCTCTCGTGTCCAGTGGTTTTCACTATAATGGATGATGAGCCCGTTTTGTTTACAGTCCTGGTCAGAGGCAGATCAAATGTCAGTGGCACTTCATCCATATTTATCCATCCATAGGTCTCCGTGATCTTTGTTTCAACAAATTGTCGTAAATTTGCACATTTTCCCTTTAAGTCCAAGGGAAGTAATTGACAGAGAGTTGTTTGCGCTCTTTCTTCTCACCAACTTTTATGTCCTCTGAAAGCCTTTCTAGCGATTTGGCATTGAATGAGTTCTTCCTGCTGCCGTCTCCAGCGCCGAAGCATTAATTAATTCACGCCAAGCTTACGCGCAGCAGCTCTATTTCCCTCCTGTTCTGCCAGATCGATGGCCTTTAACTTAAATGCGGCATCATATGAACTTCTTTGGGTGGTTTACATGATGAGGGCGTATGGACCTGAAAAAAATTTGCAGTCGTGCCTGCTGCTTGAATTTACTGAAAATGAATGCTTTCTTCTGTGATTTCCAACTTTGGTGTCTGACCTTTTTCTGTTTCTGCTAAAGCGCCCCCTAGAGGGTGAATAGAACTTCACGGAAAAGCAGTATCTCAAGCCACATGGTTTAAAATGCGGGGAAAAATTAGCGGCTTATAGTTGGGAAAATACAATATATATACACATACACATGTATATGTACACAAACGTAGATATATATATATATATATATATACACATACACACACACAAAAAATCTGCAATGCAGCCTTACCTTGCACATCATCATCATCCTCTGTGAGGTCGATGACGGAGCCTTTGGGTCGTGGGACGGGTACAGCTGCTTTGGTGGGAGTGGTTCCAGAGGCTTGGTTGTCTACAAAAGACAAGGTTGTGTTGAGTAAAGAAAGTGTGTGTAAGTGGCATCTCACTGGTTATGAGTCCTTAGCAGAGTAGGACAGTAACAAAGTAAATTTACATGAGTACTGTACTTGGAGAGAAGATTTTGAGGATTTGTACTTTACTTGAGTCAATTTGTTTTGGGAAAACCTATGACTTTCACTCCACTACAATTTAATGACAAAATTCATAGAGTTTTTTTACTCCATCCAATCCCTCTCAAAGCTTCCGCTACTTGTTAGTTCTGTTAGTTGTGTTTGTTAATGTAGTTTGCATCTATTTTGTCTCACTGACACGCTGCAAAAAAATCCTTAATGTCCTGTAAATGCTGGTGGCGATATGCAGCTTTAAACTAGTTGCTTGGACAAAAAAGAAGAATTATCTTTGTCCTTAGCGTGATGCCCTACAGGTACGCTGGACATGCTCAGATGGGTGATGAGGCTCTCATGAAAAAATAGACTTGCGTTGTAGTAATTTTGTTGTGTAAACTGTGCGTGTAATATTTCAAGTTTGACTTCTGCAGAAAAGATATCTATTTTAATGTATTTTACTTATTTAAACTGAGACACCTTTCATGCAGATACATTAGCCCTGCATCCAGAGGGTTGCCGACTGTTAAAAACATTTTTTTTCAAGATTGAAAATATCCAATTACATATTGGAGAGTATTGTTGAAAGCAAATACTCCAATACTTTAACTCAAGTAATAATTTGACTGAGGTACTTCTATTTTTACGGGAGTAATATTTGACCAGGATGATGTGTACTTCCTCTCAAGTAATGAAACTGAGTTCACCACTGGTCCTTACTCACCTGTCTTCGATGTTAGAGAGGTGCCTTGAGGGGGTCCTGGAGCAGTGGAACCTGTTGCTGCTGGCCCAGAAGTTGCAGGTGTCAAGGCTGAAGACATGGCACCAACAACTGAGACTGACTGGGCTGGTGTCCTTGCTGTGGTCACCGAAACGCCAGCATTGGGTGTGGTTATTCCCCCCGCACCTCCTTGGTACACAGCCCGGGGCAGAGAGATCTGCGTAGGGGCCACCTGGCTGGTGGAGGCCTGAATTGCTGGCAGAGTGGCGGCAGCTGGGGTGGAGGCTGTCGCCGTGTTGGTCACAGGAGGAGACTTGAGTATAAATGTGGTGGTGGAGGATGACGTTTTGCCCTTGCTGAGTGAGCCTGCCGCGGACAGCGAGGAGACGGGGAAGTTGACCAGCGTCCCCGTCTGGCCATTCACCGACAGAGGCAGCTGGATGACAAGTGGCTGGCCTGTTGCCATCATGCCGCTCCCGGGAGTTGTTTTCAGCACCAGAGTGCCCGGCTGGCTTTGAGTAGTGATGGCGGTGGCCAGCGTGGAGGAAGCATTAGAGGTGGATGTGATGAGCTGAAAGATGGAGCCCTGTGGAACCATAGTCGTGGAGGTGGAAGTTGAGGGTGCAGCTGCAGCAGTGGCAGGCAAAGAGGCTGGGGCCGGACCAACTGTGGGGGGAAGAAAGAAAATGAATAAAAGAACATGCAAATAACCTGAAAATTTGCACACTAGTCAGATCAGTCACCATTTTTCCCCCTCTACTGAGCAGTGGAACATCCCACCATACAAATGGTCCAAAGACAAACACTGTTTGCAACATCGACATGCAGTCGAAATGCAATCAGGCTTCTACACACTAACAAGACCAACATCAACTGTTCAACAACATAAAACTGAATTCTTGTTCATCTAATATATGCCTTTCATATAGTTTCAATTTGAGCAGAAGGAGGGTTCTGCTTTTTCAGAAAATATGTTATTGTTTTTTAATCAAACCTTGAGAAACATTTAAGTTGGTGCTCTGAAACATTTCTTAGGATCGGGAGTTTAGCTTCTAAACACCATTTAATGAACTCATAAAGCCCATATGGAAATAACCCGGTTAGAGATACATATTGAGTCGTAATTTAAAGAGATACTTTCAACCATTGTGCCAATTGTTACTATGTTAATTATGACAAACCAACACAAAATCTAGTTTGGAAGAAAGGAGAAATCCTGTCACTCACCAGTTGGGCTGGAAGAAGAAACAGCTGGAACCTGCTTTCCTTCAATGGAAGTCCGGACGGGCCTGTTCAGAGAGATTGCTTATACTTAGAGAGTTGTTGACAATAGGAGCTGATCATGTCCATGACAGGAGGACGACTGAGGACGGTTAGGGTGCAGACATTAGACTTTATTCCATTTCAAACAGTCATCGTTAACACCTTGCAGGATGATTCCATCTCAAAATTGCATATGTGCATGTCCGGGTTTACATCATAGCATCCGATTTGAACTATTTAATGGTTTCAGGCGACGTGCCCACTCTGTATCAATGTCCTTTTTAACATAATAATAAGGATTATGACTGAGGGGTGAGATTTTCACTACATATGTTTTTTGTCCTCTATCGTGATTCATGACAATTGTCCCAGTATGCTTCTCGTCCTGTGAGATAATGGGCGTTAAAATGACACTGGCGTCCTTCCGTTGTACTCTCTGAAAAACTCTGGCCGTCGTTTTACTCGCAGTATTTCATTGATGACATCTCGGATCTCTCTCCACTTGTCAGTAGACAGCAGAGGAAATCGCCGCTCGATGTACATCCGCATTGTCTTCCTCAAGTTCCTGGGCAGGGCTTCCTTCCCCATTAATCCGACATAATTGACCTTAGCAACCCAGTCGCAGTACACGTCGTATGGGACTAGGTAGCGAAATATGTACGATGCATAGCGGTCCGGCCTGGGGCTCCCGGAGCTTCGCTTGCAGTTATGGAACAGAACGCTTTCCAAGTGGGAAGTGATTGGCCGAAGTTTTACATCAGCTCTGCATTTGCCTTCGCTGTAGTCCGCCAGCTTTGTTGCCATAGCAATGTGGCGCGACATATCTGTCTCCGCGTCTTCCCCCATATCCTCCTCTTCCTTTTCCTTCTCCTTCTCGACAGGCAGTGCAGGAGTCTTACAAAGAGAGGGCGCCACCTCCTTTCGGGGCACCTCAGGCTCCGGCTCTACTGTCTGCCGACGGAGCACGCTGTTGGAAGGAGAGGTGCAGTTTTAACTACACTCTGCACTGCCTGAAGAAACGCTCAGGCTTCATATTGTAGAACGTCACAAGACTCAGGACCTGGACCCACGCAGGGGGTTAGTTTGCAGGTACAAAACCCTTGGGCGTGTGTTTGTTTATTCCAAACAAAGTCTTTTGGAATATTGGGACTGCAATTCAAAGGGTCAAAAGGTCGATCCTGAAAATCCGAACAAGGGACATAGAACAAGAGTTTGGATTTGGGGGATGCACAGATTCGTTATTCTGTCCATTCGTTTTAAATTCAGTTTTCTAATAATTACAGGTAGCAACCTGGGACAATGTCATCGCTTGACGCCGTGAACGCTCACGTGTGTAGTTCTAGCATCAGTCCGGTATTGTCACGTTCATACAAAAAGCAAAATTATATTCACAGAGAATTGAATTTAGTTTACATTTGCTGTGGAATTGAAAAAATGACACGACATGACACAACGTCAGCCTGCAGTGAGGTGCTTCACTTTTGACATTTCTAATAAAAGAAAAAGCTCCTTCCTACATCTTTTGCCAAACTCACTTACATGTAAAGTACAGTTGGAAGGAGTTAGTCAGGAACTTTGGCTGTTTAAGTGGACACTCACCGCTGGGCTTGAGGGTTGCTGGCGGTAGTTGCAGTCTTGGCAGCGGCGGCGGCGACAGCGACAGCAGCGAGTGCCTGCTGAAGTCAAACGGCAGGCGTCACCCGACAAAGCTAATCAGCATGCGGAGGGACAAAGGCTTAAAACGGACATTTAATAGAGCAAAACGTGTTACCTCCTGCTTTCTCTTGTTTTCGGACGCCTGGTTAGCCTCTCCGAACTTTTTAGCTAGTCGGGATATCTTGCTCTGAAACAAACAACAAACGAGGGGTTGGATTCATTATGGCTTGGCTGACTGTAAAAAGGTGAACAGGTTCTCTATGTGGAACACCTTGTTTCCGGTAGAACTGTGTACTTACTTGGAGTGTGTTTATGGCGGTTTGGTGTTTAGTGGCACAGTTGATTTTGTCAACTCTGTCCTTCAGCTCCTGGAAGTGTTGCTCAAAAATGGTCAGCTCCAAGATCTTTAGCCGTTCATCCACAAGCTGCTGCACAATCTGGGAAGCGTAGGGACAAAAAAGTAAGCATTCACTGCAGGAAATAAGTAACAGTGCAGCAGGAGGACCGCAATACAGACCTTTTCAAGTTTATGGTGACTACCGGCTTTTGCTGTGATTTTAAATTCCAGTTGGGCCTCCAGCTCCTCGTGGTCCACCTTGGGCCTCTTCCCTTCCCTTTTCACACTCAGTCCATCTTTTTCCCCCTCTGATAAAGTGCGTTTTAGTCCTGAGGTCGAACCCTTCTCCGCTTGAGCTGCACGTGAAATGTGAGTTTTTGTCAGTATGTCGCAAACCGTCTGGATTTCAAGATGTTTAATACTGAGCTTTAGGTTCAACTATGTTATTAGTGGTTATTACTATTGAACTCCTGTTCTTAAGCCTTTGATTACCAACTCCTTGATATCATACCTGTGTTTGAAGGTGGAGTGGATGACGGTCGCGTTAGTTTAGCCGTTTGTCCATGTTCGCTTTTCTTCTTTTTGAGCTCCACTTTCACTGAGTCCACTTCCATCTTTTCCTCTTTTTTTGATGCTTTCTTTGCATCGACCTTGTCATCCTTTTCAGCTTTGGCGTCCCCCTTTTTCACTTCCGTTGCATTCCTTTCATTTGCACCAGAGGCCGACTGAGATGTCGATGGGCTTTTGGAGGAATCGGAAGTAGCGTCCTTTGGCGAAGAAGGTTTACTGTCTTTCGTTTTCGATGTGGAGGCCTCTGGTTTTCTGGCCTTTGTAGTGTTACTTTCTGCATCCATCAGCTCTTTGCATTCAAAGTCAGAGCCTGTAGGTGGCACAGGTGAGGAGGAAGCCAAACCTTCCAGAGAATCCTTTGTCAAATCCAACGCTGGGTCTTTTGTCGTTTGTTTCTCCTGCTGGTGAGAATAATTATATGATCAACAACACATACTTTTAACCTGTCCATATTTAATGTTATCGTTTATTTTGGATTAAAATGAGTAAAAGATAAGCAAGTGTCCAAACGTATAAACGCATTTACCTTATTCTTTTCCATGACCAATATCTCCTCGCTGTCCTCCTCCAGTCGGACCCTACAATCAGCTGACGTAATAGGCTCGTTTGGTGAGGATGGTGAAGAGCCTCTCTTTTCCTCGTCATCCATCTTCTTCAGATCAAAGAACACAGGCTGGAATGGTGAAGAGGGAGAGGAAGTTTCTTCCTGTGCCTTGGGGCTTTGTGAGGAGGCTGGGGAAGGGGACAAATTCAGGGACAGGAAAGGAGCGGGAGAGCTAAGGGAGGTCGCTGAGACAGGTGACGCCGCAGGGGGGGAGTTGGAGTCAGAGATGTTGTTTTGCTCTTTGTCACCCACTTTTTGTCCATCCTCTTTATGCGTGCCGTTCACCAGAGGCGGTGGAGACGGGTTGGACAAACTAGGAGTCGTTGTCAGCAAAGTGCTGTGAAGGCTCTCGAGTTGCAGTCGATCACTGATCTTCATGGTTTTCCTCGCACGGAAGATTTTCTTCTTCTCCTCTGTCACAACAACTTCCATTGCGTCCTGTTGGGTAACAAGCACTGATTAGATGGGAATGTAGCGGAGATATAGAGATAAGTAAACGACACACTATGTCCTGCTTTTATGCCTTTGAAGTTCATTACACGCTGCTTAGAGAAAGAATGGCTGCACAATCCAACATAAAACACTAGAGGTCACCGTAGAGCTCTGCTGCTTCCTCGTTTGTTCTCTTCTAGAAGGTTCTTTCACAGATGACTTCATACCAAAGTGGATGTCCTTAGTAGCACTTCTTTGCTCTATGCGTTTCAGTAATCAAGGTTAACCGTCCAGAGCCTTTCTATCTGTTTCCACACTTCACTGACAAGAGACAAGGAGCACCTCACTAAACCACAAGCTTTTTCATGGTGCTTCTCAGAAAAATTTAAAAAATACTCTGATGATCCCTTTTTCTCCTTTATTTTGAGACAAACCTATGGATTTCTTGTTAACCTTAGCCAAAATCCACAGACCAGAATAAAGGACACAGAGCTAACAGCAGCAGAAACCTAACCTTCCTCCCATCCCCCCACTTAGCCATTGGTTCAGTCCTCAGCGAATCAGAACGGCATAACTGAGGCAGGGCGGGCAGCAGCAAAAGAGGTTATGCAAAACATGGAGGACTTCACGTATATGGTTCGATTGCCGCAAATGTATTGCTACGGCTAGTTGTTACTAAAGAAATATAAATCCATCTGAACTGCATACATCTGTGATACCTGCCCATGGATCTACAATAACCTGACAGCAGACTGCAAAAAAACCAAATAAAAATACATTTTTAGTGGATTGCATTTAAACAGACCTTCCAAATTCGGAAATTCCGCTATATGCATCTAAAGAGTATTAAAAGTTTGATCTACACTGACCTTCCTTTGAGACTCTGCTTTTGAAAACAGATTTGTGGCCTTATTTATGAGGACAGACTTTAATGGTTATTCATCAGGTTGATTTTGAGCAAATATTACATTTTGTTTATAAAAAGTTAATTGAATTCAAAGAACACAAAGTAAAAAGTAAAAGTAAAGTAAAATACCTCTTTAAAAATTGCTTGTCAAAACAATAAAGATTAAAGAGGAGGGCCAAACCCTCCTAGGAAAGATATTTTTTTTTGTCGCAGGGTTTAAGAGTGCAGCTGCTAACAAGATGGTTTAATTTTTTAGATTAATCCATCTTTTATGTTAGGTATTCGAACGGATGGGATCAAGAGATACATTCACATCGAGGGTCTCTAGTTCAGCCTGTGTCTGTGTGCTGGTTTGACTGTGGTACTGAATCATTTGAAGGGCAGTCGTAATTTATGTAGCCCTCAAAGAGCTGAGCTCCCTCAGTTTTACTGAGTAAAGTTGGTTATCTTTACTGTTACTGCATTGCTGACCTGTAAGACTGCAGCAGATTGAGCCACGTGACGCTGCCTCAGCCAAAAAAATCATTAATTTAGACTGGAGTCTTTTGCAACTTATCAGGTTGCCATGGGAAAAATAACATGACTGTATATACTTTATACTGTAAAGAACCACTCTGACATGTTGGTACACATGGTCTGCACTGTAGGCCATGCCTGCTATATTTTTCTCAGGAAGCTGGGCTTTTCCAAGGCCCCTACTTGATTTTTAAAAATAGGTAAGAAGACATCTTTAAAATAAGAAAATTTTATAAAAAAAGGCTCCACAAAAAAGTGGAGCAGTGTGAATGGCCATCACCGCTCCATTTCACATTCCAATGTTAATGCAGGAGCGCAGTGCAAAAAAAAAAAAAAAAATCCCCTCCCCCATCATACGGCCCAAAAATGAATGCGCCTGGCTTTAGTTCAGAAACTCAAAATGGCGGTACGCTCTGCTATTCGCTGCCAGGCTGAGACCTCTGTAGCTAGCTGAAAGGACTCAGATGGGTCAGCACCAACCTGTACAATGAGGATTTACTGTTTAGTTTGAGGCATCTCGAAACTCGGCAAGAAGTAGATTGTATGAGAAAAAAGAAAAAAACCTAAGTAGGCCAAACTGAAATAAAGAAAACAAAATGCTTTGATTTAAGAGCTACCTGGTTGTCTGTGGTACTTGATTTGGAAATACATTAAGGAAATGCCTGTCGCTGACAGACTGGCAGGGTGTCACATTTAATATCTTAGCACTTCACATACATAACCAAAACAATATAATAGATTACTATTATTCTACGCCATATCTCACGTCATATTTTCATTTACTAGAAAAACATTTCCATACATTGTTTTTTCAAAAAACAGCCTAAGCTGTGAAGAGTTACCAGGTTACATGTTCCAGTGTTTGTAATAAGTAGAAGTAGTTTCCCTAACTGGAAATAGGCTTTAAGGACTAAAACATGTTATGCTGTGGAAGTTCACTGGATGAAAATGAAGGAACCTCAGATTTAAAAAGCTCACCAACTTATTTAAAAACACTAAGGTTAAAAGAAGGAGTAATCTGTGTGAAATACAATTCATTTAGAAAGTAAGATAAAAAAGTATCCATTTATGACTCGTCCTTTTATGGATATCACATTGCAAGAGCATCGTATACACAACTATAGGTATGATTTGCCACATTTATTTAGTCACTATTCTCTTATCTGCTGCACCAAAAACTTGCGTGGCACCAGGAGCAAACAATTATTCACAAGTATGCAGTAAGACTGACAACATGGAGTGATTAACACTGCAGGCATATTTGGCTTGCTAGTTAGGGAGAAGTGACCATAAATTCTCTTAAGGCCAAATATGCATCTAAACATACTACTCTTTACACTACTGAGAGCAATATACTTTTGGCAAAGCTAATTGAAGAAAAAGCTTTAATGTGAAGGGGGAATAAAAGAGTCAGTTTCAGTAACTGAAACATGAAGCATGCCTGAAAGACAGGAATGTCAACCTTTAGCAGGATGTGTGGGACCGGGCCACACGTTGAATGCTGCAACAGAAAAGGCTAGGATGTTGGCACCATAACATAAAAGTAAGGAGGAGGAGCTCAGTTAGGAAGATTCCATGTTGTTTCTTACAGGGGTGTGTGCTATAAAAGGGTGTGTGGCTAAAGAGATCTCTGTTGGATATTACTCAAAGCCTAAAAACAAACAAAAAAGACATTTCAAAGCTTCTGTGCCATAATGGGGAAGAAAATGGATCAAAAATAAAATTCAAAGGACAGAATAAACAGGTTTGTGTTAAAATCATAAATGATCATTACTCAACCCTTTTGCAAGCTGCAGTTTAAAGTGTAGAGTAGTGATGGTAACCTTTAACTCTAGCTAGTAGCACAGATAGAGAGGAAGTACATTTCACAGACTGTTGCTAAGCAACACAACACCCATCCCCCAACTCTAGCACAATCTAGTCCACAGCACGGAAAGCTACAGCCAGCATGGACCATACCATTCTGACTTTGAGCGAGGTGGGGGGGCTGTCCTTTCTACTCTTTTTAAAGAAACAGTGCAGAAAAAGAGCTTTCATGGTAATAAAAAATAGGCAGCACAGTAGATTAAATGTATATTATTTGGTTTATTGTGCTGTCATTTTTAAATCCTGGATTTACCTCTAATGAGCTGAAGATGTTAAGATGTGCAGCACTCCATTTTGTGCCGTCAAATTAAATATGTACACTAACCCTTTTCAGTTCAAACTTGTTTTGCTTCTCTATGGAATTATTGACAGATCTGACCTGCTTGAGCTCCAACAATGTTAGCCTAAGCCTTATCATAGCGTTTTAATGACCTAGAAAATGTAGTATGCAGGATTAGAGTCAGATTGTAATTTGATCACAGTCTCCGGTAGAAAATCTCAATGCTTCGTATGACAGCAGTGTCTTTTGACAGCACTTTTTAACTTACTGCTTAACCAGAGGAACAATGACTGATGGTTTTACATATTAACTGGATAGCATTTCAGCTTAATTCTAGAAATATCCCAGTTTTTCACTGCCGTTTGCTTACCCTCGACTGCAATAACATTTCAAAGCATAGTTAGAATTGAAAAAAATGTTTCATTTAAAAAGAAAGAAAATTAAAGAAAATTGAATAAATTACATCAATCGAGTGGACTATAATGGTTCCCTTGATAACTCCTGTACAGTAAGTGTCAATGGGAACAAATAAATAGGTAAACAAAACTTTTAATGTTCAGGTTTTGGTTCAGCTAGATTAACTTAAAACAATGTTGATAATTCTATATTCATACAATGTTTCAAAACATTAGGAAAATTCCAACGCAGAGGGAAAAAAGACAAAAAAAATCAACAAAAAAGCAAGGCAAAACAACACAACGTGCACGTTAGTCAGCGCCTAGCTAGCGGTGCACAGCCAGTACTAAACACTGCACACCCACCAAAGCCTGAACCTAGAGACAGTTGCCCCCACCTTCTCTGTCTTTCTCTGTCTTACACACACACATACACACACACTAGGGCTCTCACTCTTTCTCTCAGGCTGTGGAACAGCATCTCCTGCTCAAACATGGGCTGAACCAATTCTTTAGGGGAGGGAGTGGGGGTGGGGCGTTAAAAACAAAAGACATAAAGAACATGAGGTTAAAGCAAACAGTAAAAACAAGAAAAGGAAAAAAACGTCAAATTGTCCTTTTTTTTTTTTCTTGAAACAGTATATTGTTTTAGGAGAGCAAAACCTATTTTGCTTTGGTTTCACACTAGATACTAAATATTACCAATAATTTGGGAGATGGTTTATATCTATGGTTTCACTAGTTGTTTTTATTTTTAAATTCTACAAAGAAGAAATGTAAACTTCTTGTCTCATGCTAGCTGAGCACTACAGCAACAAAAAAATTAGAGCACAGCTTGACACGCTAAGCCTCGACCTGCCCAGCCTTTGGCTGAGCAGAGGGCTGAACCATTCCAACACGGGGGTGGTTTCTTTTACAGTATAAGAGAAAAAGAATTTCACTTCTTTTCTTTGTAAATCATAATGTTGATTAAATAAAAACCTTAATGTCTTTAAAAAAAATCTATGTTGAGTGAATAAATACAAACCTGATGAAGCACTCT